ATTATTTTTAAAGCCAAAATCCAGCCTGGGCACAGTGGCTCACACCTGTAATCCCAGCACTTTGGGAGGTCGAGGCAGGCTGATCACTTGAGGCCAGGAGTTTGAGACCAGCCTGACCAACATGACAAAACCCCATCTCTACTAAAAAATATGAAAATTAGCTGGATGTAGTGGTGCTTGCCTGTAATCCCAGCTACTCAGGAGGCTGAGACAGGAGAATCACTTGCACCTGGGAGACGGAGGTTGCAGTGAGCTGAGATTGCACCACTGCACTTCAGCACTTTAGGAGGCCGAGGAGGGAGGGTCACTTGAGGTGAGGAGTTTGAGATCAGCCTGGCCAACATGGTGAAACTCCGTCTCTACTAAAAATATGAAAATTAGCCGAGGGTGGTGGCGCACACCTGTAATCCCAGCTGCTCAGGAGGCTAAGGCAGGAGAATTGCTTGAACCTGGAAGATGGAGGTTGCAGTAAGCTGAGATCACACCACTGCACTCCAGCCTGGGAGACAGAATGAGACTCTGTCTCAAAACAACTATATAAAAACTATATAAAGAGCTATATGCTGAAGAGAAGAATACCCAAACAATTCTACCTAAAATCTAAGCTATTTTACAAGCTTTAACAAAGGTAGGGGACTGGGTAATGTTGTAGTAGAGCTTGTTTCTGAGATTAGCCCACGTACCTTGGTTGAGTATAGCCTTTGTGGCTCACCTGTTTTTACTTTGCAATGTCTGTACTCCCACAGGTGGGCTCGGTGGTGGCCGTGGGCTGGATCCGCTCCCGCAAGGCTGTGGACTGGCGCCTTTTTCGGAACATCTTCGTGGCCTGGTTCGTGACCGTCCCTGTGGCTGGGCTGTTCAGCGCTGCTGTCATGGCTCTTCTCATGTATGGGATCCTTCCATATGTGTGATTTGTCTTCTTCCAGCTGCAAACAGCTAAAGGGATGGTCTGGTGTGGGCGTGTGGGAAACACGTGCCCTCGTGCCACACATACACATCCTGGCCTTGCACGGTTCTCATGACCAGCTCTCTGCCTCCCTTCCAGGAGGCTCCATCCCACACCGTTCACCCGGGCTGCGGAGACTCACCTTCTCGAGCTAACTTAACTACTGTACATAATAATATGTATTAAACTGGTATCCTGGTGATATAATGTGGTGCAGTTACTTATATATTAAATATCTATTGTATCCATAGAATAGGCAGCGTTATTTCAAACATATTCAAGTTGGAAGTGGAAATCATTGCCTAGAAGTCAATATTCAGTAAATCTTGTACATAACTATTTCGATGGCAAATGTTAAGCCTTTTAAAAGGAAAGAGTAGATTGGAAAATGATTTTTTTCCAAATGATGTTTTTCCCTTCTAATATACTATAAGGTGATGAGCTTCAGGACAGGCGACACGACCCTGCAGAGGCCGCGTGCCATGGGATGCCAGCGGGATGGGAGCTCACAAGTGCTTTCACTGAAGATTTGTTCATATATTGTGTATTGATTCTTGTGTAATATATCATCATTGCTTTTGTAAATACGTAAAACTGTAATTTTTTAATGGTGTGCTTCCCTTATACTTTTTTGATCAGAGAATTTTGGAAAGTACCAAAGAAGCAGGGGAATCGTTGGCCAGTGTTACATTTTCACATTGTCTGTCTCCCACCCTCACTGATCATGCCTGCCCCGGAGCAGCGTGTGGCGGTGACACCGTCACCCAGCATGCGCCACGCCGTGGCTCCCACCAGCAGTGCCACCGCCGCCACCACACCCCAGATCCCGCCCGCCCTGCAGTGGCCTTTCCTTGTCATCAGAGTAGAGAATGCACAGGTGTTGGTGAGGGCGTGCGGCTGAGCACTACATGTCAAGTCCAGGGTCAGTTTTCATCCCAATTCTCCCGGCAGCCCGAAGAATGGATCCTTGTCTCAAATGTCAGCACAAAGGAGGCTTTTTCTGTGCTTTGACATTCTAGCAGTTCAGGGATGGGAGGGAGGGGAAATCCTGGACGCTGGATGGAGTATTTCTCTGAGGCCCACACAAAGCTGGACATCCCCAGGCTCTACTCTATCCCATTGGAGTCTCTTTTGATAGCGGGAGGGAGGAAGTACGACTAATGTTGGAGCCTGAAACTATGGAAATGCTGCTAAAATTTTTATATTGACAAACATTTTCTTGGTACTTCATTGTGATTTTTCATTAATCAACCATATTAAATTTATAATAAAAAATGCCCCTCGGAAGTTTGCCTCTGAAGCCTTTTCCTCAATATTGACAATTTTTCTTTCAGAGTTTCCACAAAAACCAAAGCTATAAAATTTGGTCCTTGTATTTTTTCACATACCCTTTGTTCATTTCCCTTATTTGACTACTGTACGGGTTGTACAGAAAACACAGGTGAGCAGGAAAGGGAGGCATGGCATCCCCGCCCCGCACTCAGAAACCCACAGTCAGCAGCTCATGGAGCAGTCAGTTGCCACGTTCAGGGCTGAGGACCAAGCAGGGAAGTGCAGGTCTTATCCTTTGCTCAAGCAGCCAAAAACACCCTGGCTTGCAGCTTCTGGAGCCCGCAGAGGGAAACCCCTTAATCCTCTGCAGCGGTGGCGGCACAAGCTCCAACTCCCTTAGGAGCTGTGAAGGCGACAGATGAAGCAAAGTGGCAGGTATAAAAAATGCATCTTGTGACTGGGCGTGGTGGCTCACGCCTGTAATCCCAGCACTTTGTGAGGCTGAGGCTGGTGGATCATGAGGTCAGGAGATGGCGACCTTCCTGACCAACATGGTGAAACCCCCATTTCTACTAAAATACAAAAAAATTAGACGGCATGGTAGCGTGCACCTGTAGTCCCAGCTACTTGGGAGGCTGAGGCAGGGGAATTTGCTTGAACCCCAGAGGCAGAGGTTGCAGTGAGCCGAGATTGTGCCACTGCACTCTAGCCTGGTGACAAAGACTCCATCTC